TCTGTGTTCTTTATTTTTTCTGTACTTGTTCATCATCATATCTGATAACCACCCACAAATGGTTTGTGAATGGCTTTTGAGATTTTTTTTTAATTTGAGGACTGGTACCTTTTACCTTCATCACACAATGTAGCGACTTGGGGACAGGGTTCTCCTTGGGCACATCCTGTGATATGGGCTGTAGTTTTGTTAGAGTTTATTTAGCCAGCAGAGAAATTCAAAGTTATGGGACTAACCAAATCTCTCTGGCAGAGGCTGCATTTAGAGACCAAAAAAACCACACAAGTTTAGAACTGTCTTGCCTTAAGTTCAAAAGAGAGAGGAATTTCTTTTTGTACCTGTTTGCAGTTTTCATACAAGTGGAATGGGCTGCTATCATCCTTTCTAGAACCTATGTAGAGTGCTTATTTTGGAAAATTGTATTATTTAATATTGTGACGCTAAAGCTTCAGAGTGCCAATGTGTGTGTCACGTGTGATAGATTGGAGCCTTAAGTGTAATTCAGTGGTTTAATTACATCTATCTGATTTTGTTCTGTTTTTCTGGCACCAAATGAGACAGTATTTTTCACTTGCTTATGTGATGCAAGAAAACTCCAGAATCTTCCCAGTCTCTTTTCTTATGAACTTTCCTTTCAGCAATTGCAAACAGAAGATTGCTTTTCCTCTACTATCGCATCAGGATACCTGACCCATATCTGATCTTTCTAACAAAAATCTGTTTAGAATGATAACTTCTTAAGCAGCTGTTTTATCTCACTATAATTCATTTATATTTGGCTTCTGTTAATAGATGAAGACTGTGATTACCTAGCAGAAAGATCAATTGAAGAGGTTTATCATCTCTGGTGCTTGGCTGGAGGAGACTTGGAGAAAGAACTTGTCAACAAGGAAATCATCAGATCAAAGCCACCCATCTGTACACTCCCCAAGTAAGAAAAAAGAACACACTTTTGAAAATGAAAACATGAGAAAAGGGGGTTGGTGTAGAAAATGGCTCAAAAAAATGTTAGGTGTGTTTTTCAGAAGTTCTGAGTTCTCACTTTGAAGGAAGTTTGAAGGTAACGTTGTGAAGAATAGTGAAAAGATCAACACCTCCACATGTGTCTCTGTTGCATTGCCTGACTTATACCAGCCATCAAAACTTAATAGTACCTTGCAAAATTTGTTAAAAAGAATGCATAGGGAAGATACCACCCTATAATAAAATCTGCAGGTTCATTATGTGCCATAACATTAAATTATTCTATAACATTGCTCACTAAAATGTTGTGCATTTAGTATGCAGTGCAGTACATCTTAAAAATACAAAATGCAAATAGTGCATACATTTACACAATACATTCAACTCACTGTATCCAACACATCAAGCCATTCAGTTTTTCATAAAAAATGGTTTTATTTTGTACAGATGCTACATGGTTTAAGAACTTTCCAAGCTGTGAAATAATTCAATGCATTGCTACTGGAGTCCTATTGAAATTTTTACTACACACTCCAACTGTGTCCTGCAGTCTGATCTTAGTATATGAAGACTACTGCAGTGGTGCAGATCAGATTGTAGCTCTCTTCTGGTAGTTAAGTAATATACTAAGTCAGCAGTGAATAACAAGCACCATATTTTCATTGCAAACCAAAAGGGGGCAAAGTTTAGCCTTGAGCTTTGGTGAATGGTGTAATGGGTTGAAGTTTTAGTGAATGCTTAATCACTTACCTATTGCTATATAATTTATTTTCCTGAAGCAGCAACAGAATATGATCCTTCAGTTTTCTTTCTAGAAACTTTCTGTGTCAAGAACATTCCCTTCCATGGACTGTTTGTTTGTGTTTACTCTTTTTTGGATTTATTTGTGGTTCTGAGGGCTTAATCTGACATAGACACAGAGTGCAAATAGCCTGCCAAATACTGTGTCACAGCTGTCATCTGTAACTGAGGAGGAGTGGACAAAGTTCCCATCATGTCTGTCACTGTCATTGTTGATTTTTCAGCTTTTGACTGACAGTGGCATTTATTTCTCTTTCCTCTTCATTGCTGGTAATCCTCAGATATGTTGTCTTGGATAAGAAGCTATAGATTGTACACATTAAAAAACCTGATGTGGCTATTTCATTTGGAACTTTTTCAGCATTTCAATGTATTGCACATCCCCTTGGTAGCTGGCTTTGTAGTCAGGAGACAATATAGTGTAATTTCAGCATTTGTTTCTTCTTAAAAAGAAAATACCAATTGAATTGACATAGAACTTTGTTCTTTTGAGCTAAATATTTTCTTTTAAAATAACCAGGATTTGGGTTTTTCTCTCTTCAAAGTTTTTTGTTAGAGGATGGTGAGAGTTTTGGACAAGGACGAGATAGAAGTTCCCTTCTTGATGACACAACTGTGACACTGTCACTGTACCAACTGAGAAATGTAAGAAAAAGCCATTGCTAAGTGCTTGTGTTCCAGCTGTAGTAACTATGTTTTTATATTCCCAAATAGTAGGGCTATGTTTCATTTTGGTTTCGGCCATTTTAGAGCACAGTGGTTTGTTTCGGTGTTTTGGATCACTGTTCCATTTCGGTTCAACCAAATCTGTTTCAGAGTTTTGATGCTGTTTTGCAACTGATTTGGAGATTTGGATCGGCTGGGGAGAGGCAGGCACAGCCAGGTGGCTGCAAGTTCTCCCGCAGCTCCTCCAGTTGTGCCTGCCTCTGCCCTGGTGGCGGGGGACATGGGAGAAGCCCCCATCGCTGCCCTGCCTGGCCCCATCCCCTCCTGCCCCAGCCTCCTGGCACTTTAAAAGGAGGGCTGTGGGGCTGAGCCAAACTATTCGGGGGTGGGGGGGGCGCCTCCAAAACATTTCAGAAATGTTTCGGAGCCTTTCCTTTCATTTTGGATTCAGTGTTTCAGGCGCTGAAACAGGCTGGAACACCTCTGAAACAAAACAGCTGTCAAAATTTTGCACAGCCCTACAAAATAGCAAAAATAAAATCAGTGTTGTTCTTTCAAAACTCCTTTGGGCACTGATTCCGACACCAAGAAGACTCAGACACACAGATTCTGATTATTTATTTATTTATTTAATGGAAATAAGTTTACACAGAAAAAATATATCATCTTCTTTGTGTGAAATGAAATTTGTATTCAGTTTTGTTTTGATGTAACAGCTGTTTTATGAGAATAAGTTTAACATTCAGTGCTAATTTAATTATAGAAATAGAACGTTTTATCTTTTTGGTTCAGGCGATGTTTCTTTAACAAGTCCACCTTTCTCTCTGTAGAAAGTTCCTGAATATCCAAATAAAAGATCAACCCACTTTTAATGTCTTCTAACAAATTTTCCTATTGTTTCTTACAAGTCTTGAGATGGAATTTGTGACAACTAAGCAATCTAGTCTAAAACTATGTCAAAAATCTCCCCAAGCTCAGTAATAGTTCTTTTTCATATTGTTAGAAAACCACATTGAATTAAGCATAACTAGCACAGGCTACTATCCTTACAAACGAGAAAGCTCTGAGTCTTTCCAATTTCCTAGTCCAATTTATGCAGTTAGTTTGCAGGGGGTGGGGCATTTAACCACACCTCAGGGAATCCTTCAAACACTCCTTCTGGCAAAGAGCACAGTGATGGTAATCAAAAAAGGATCAGTGCTGAATGAACTGAGAAGTCTGATCTGCTCTATCAGTCCCCAGAAGAAATGGTACTCTACCTCTAGGTTAGGGATTGTACTGCAGAAGAGAACACTGTTGGGAAGATGGAATTAAACGTTAATCACCCTGCACTGAAGATGTCCATACACTCCAGGAATTAAGTGCTGTCTTGCCTGCCTGTCTTTTTCACAGGGAATGTTTATATAACCGACTTGCTCTCAGATGTCTTTATGAAAAGTGAAGTAATTAACATAGCTTGTCTTGATTAGAAAAGCAGAACCAAATTCTTTCACTTTGGTTTGCAGCTATATGAATCAGAAGTCTTTTGTAGGAAAAGTAGGGGGTGTATAGATAAGGTAAGAATAATTTTTAGAATTGATTAAATTTGTAGAGAGAGATTCCATTCGCTCAGTAGAATATAAAACATTAAATGTTTATGCATTATTGCTGCCATCTAAGGGTAGATCTTCCTTCTTCTGTCCCTTATCACAATTAACTTAATATCTAGTCGAACACCAGTCAAGATTTTAAAAATTGCTTTTTGCATTTCTTTGTATATTTTCCATTAAAATACCAAGGAATGGCCTCATGTGAAATAACTTTTTTTTAAATTTTTTTTCCAAACTCTACAGAGGCTAAAAGATGTGGGTGGGGAAGCATTTTATCCGCTGCTTGAAGATGAGTAAGTATATGTAATCAAATTTTATTAGTTATTTTTGATTAACTATTATAGTTGCACAGTGCATATTCGGACCAAGATTTTCCAAAATTAGAAATATAATGCTAATACCATACATCCTTATTTAGGCTTCTGATGTGGGTGAATGCTTCTGAGTGCTTTTTGAAAATAGGTACACTTAAAGGTGGTTAAATTTACAAGTTTAACTTTAGTTAAGTATTTTGAAAATCTGTGGTTCTCACAGTACAGCACTGAATACGGTGTTACTGTTCCATACATGGAAACGTCTTTCCTAATTGTCTTCCAGCATAAAGACAAGTAAGGTTCTTTTATTGACATCTTTTATTGGGCTAACTGTATAATTGGGAAGAGGCATTACACATGTTTTCAAGCATTTTTACCAACAACCCTTGTTTCTTGCATATTTCCTAGAGTATCATGGCTACAACACTCCACCCCAGCTTCCAACATAACAGCATTTCCAGGCTGTACTTCTTTAAAATTAAGGCTGTTTAGTCACTCTTTACTCCTGTTTTTCCCATTCTTTTCCAGCCAGTCAAATTTACCTCATTCAAATAGTAATAATGAGCTGTCTGCAGCTGCCAATCTTCCTCTGATCATCCGAGAGAGGGACACAGAGTACCAGCTAAACAGAATCATCCTTTTTGACAGGTTACTGAAGGTATGGAATCTTAATCATACTGGAGTAGTTTTGGTTTCCATTAATTGAATAGATAAGTGGATTTAGTCTATTATCCCAGACTCTGAAGCACATGGCAGTCTTGAAAGGCTTCTGTGTGCTCCAGAGGCTAGACACTGTCCACATGTTCAGTTAAAAGTGTGATGGAAACTGGCCACAGTTATTGCACATAACTGTTTGTGTGTCTCCTTACACAGTTGTGTGTAATCATTTGACTTAGTCACCCTAAATATCCACAAACCTCTTTCTTTTGGCAGTGCCATCACAGTACTGATAAATAGTACCTGACATCAAGAAAAGCTGATGGTTCCCCGGACAGACCCAGTGAACCAGACCCAGGGCTGACAGAGAGTTGATTGTCAGTTCCAGCACTACAGTCCTATCAAGCACCTCTCAGATGATCAGGGATCCCAGCTGGGGGAGTACACCATGCCCTTCCCCAGCTGGGAGCCCAGATAAACAGATCAGAGCTCCCAGTCACAGGAAAGCACCATATGCTGTCCTGCCTGGGAACCCTAGTGAGATGATCAGACCTCCCATCTTGGGGTATGCAGGGACCTAAGCTTTGCTACCTGCTGGCTCATGGGTAGTCAAGGATGGGATCTTAGGTGAGATCCCACAGTCTCACTTCCTGCTGCACATGTGTAGCCTGTGCCCAATCTCTGGAACATCTCTGGAAGTCTGTTCACCAGGGCCCCCATTGGAGTCACCAGGAACAATGGCCACAAGCTGAGGGAGGATAGGTTTAGGTTAGATATTAGGAAGAATTACTTCACTGTAAGGGTGGCTAGAGCCTGGTATAGGCTTCCCAAAGAGGTGGTGCTCTCACCTTCCCTGGAGATCTTCAAGAGGAAACTGGATAGGCACCTGGCTGGGGTCTTATGACCCCTCCCACCCCCAGTGCTCCTTCCTGCCCATGGCAGGGGGTCGGACTAGATGATCTGTCTAGGTCCCTTCCGACTCATTGATTCTATGATATGGACATCATTGAGCACACAGGCTCCCATGTGCTCTGGAGAATGGGAGAACCCCTCAGCTAACTGGAGATTGGAGAGAAGGTAGGAAGAAAAGGGAAGAGAACTGAATCGGAGATTACAGGAAATAAGCATAGGAGAAATGGGAAGAAATGGAGAAGCCTCTAGTAACAGCCAAAACAAAGAAGAGTAAGAATTGGAGTTTACTCAAATGGATGCTACACCTCTCATTTCTAACAGCTATATGCTAAACCTGACTACAGAAACAAATCTGAGTGGTGTAGAAATAAACAGTCTGGTGACACTTCTTGTATTGGACTTTCCAAGTTGTGAGATTTTTCTTGCTGTCAAGCATTATATATTAGTACTGTGGTTGCATTGTCCAAAAAAGAGGTTTATGTATATTTAGGGCAAGGCATTTTGGATTTTCTCAGCCAAATGATTTCACAAGAGATGGCTGTTTAAGGAGGCACACAGTAGACTAATCTTATTTGGTTTCTCGTACATAATGAACTGAGATATTTTAAAAAATAATTGATTGGTTATACCATTAAAGCGAATACTCGATGAAGATGAAATTATAAGCTATGCAAACACAAAACTTACTTTTAAATCTTTCAAATATAAAGAAACATGATGAAAAGTCTTCTGCTTCCAATACATGGGTGTTGGTCTGGAGTAGGAAAGGCAGGATAGGGCCTGGCACACATTAATTTAAAGGCATAATAGGATCTAACCCCTGATGCTAGCAGTTTTGCCTTTTGCAAATGTACTTGCCAATGTAAGCAGAGCCCAGGATCACGATCCCATGCTCTTCCTACACCAGCAATTTGGTAGATGAGTGTCATGATGGAGTTGACAATTAGTCAATTGTCAGCTTGAACCCCACATTGCACCAGGGTCTTTAATCAGCCCTGTGTGGTCTGGGGCTGATGATCAGCTGATTATTGCCCTCAGGACTGCACTGGGACCCATCTGAGACCCAACTATGGTGATGAGGCCAGCAGCCAGCTTATTGTCAGCCCCACATCTGTTTCATTGGGACTCTCTGGGCAGACATTGAGCTGATTGTTGGTCCCAGCCCAGATAGCCCCAGATTTGAGACCCAGGGCTGTCCAAGCTGGGGTCAACCATCAGTTGATTGTCAAAACCCTAAGCTGCCACATAAATGTAACAAGTAGAAAGGGTCCAAGGTTAAGCATCTTTCATCTAGAAGAGCAGCTTTTCTATGTGTGTGTTTAGTGGCACAGAAGCTTTTATGAAAAGAAGGCTTTTCTTTGCTTTTAAGAAAGTGATGTTTTTGCAGGCCTATCCATACAAAAAAAATCAAATCTGGAAAGAAGCCAGGGTTGACATTCCTCCACTTCTGAGAGGCTTAACCTGGGCTGCCCTCCTGGGGGTTGAGGTAAGAAGTATAAATAGAATTCACACTAACTAAAAATATTTGGGGAGAGGGGTGACGGAAGATGGTTGATAATTGGATAGGTACAGTTTGCACTATTTAGTACAATACAATACTGTATTTTTCTTTTGTACAACATGCGCCGGAATAAAAATTGAAAGGCAGAGTGAAGAGAGATTTTTTTCAAGATTTATAAATTCGTAGAACAGGGACAGAACCTAGCCATCAGCTGACTTGCCCTCCCTGTCCTCCCTAACTAAAAGCTGAAACTCTAACTGCTGTTGAAAATTGGTTTCCATGGGTGGATGTATGATTTTGAAAAGAGCTAAAGAGTCTCCAGGGCTGTGAAATAGGAAAAAAAAAGACCAGAAGCAGCAAGCAGACTGTACAATTGTCCTAAAAAAGTTAGCTTATTTGATGGAACATCAAGACCACTAGACAGGAGAGACCAATTTTTAATGCCTATGAAACAAAAAACAATGAGCCTTTAAGTCAATTTTCTCCTTGGCTAGCTGAATAGTAATGCCACTGCTGCTGCACTGTGGAACAGGAATAAAAGCAGGGTATTTCTGTTCCAGGCAGAAGATCAGTTTCCCTGCTTAAGATATGCACCTTAGTTTATGGGACCAAATTTTGGGGGGAAAAGTATGTATGGTTTGTGGGTAAATGTGGTGATAATATAGGAACATAAACAAATATGATTTGGA